TCTGCATATGACCTTTTCCTTGACATCTTCCTTGAGCATTATAACAATCATTTCCCAATACATGAAATTGAAATAAAAACAAAATATCTTAAATGCCCGCGGATTACAAAAGAAATACGAAAATCTTAAAAAAAAAAATTGTACATTAAATATTTTAAAAATAGAAACGAAGCAAATCACTCTGTATATAAAGAGTATAAAATCTAAAAAAATATATTATTCTAAGCAATTTCAAAAAAATAATGGGAACATAAAGAAAATTTGAGAAAATATGAAAGAAGTTATTGGTAAAAATAAAATAAACTCAGACATTTTACCCTCCAGAATAACGGAAAACAAAATTGAGTATATATATAAAAAACATATATCAGAATCGATTTCTTTGTAAAGACTGGTCTTTGTAAACGATTTCTTTGTAAACACTGGTCCAAACCTTGCGTCAAAAATACAAACCTCGGAAAAAATCATTTCAAAGTTATTTTAGTGGCTTTCATAGTTCATTACCTAATAATCTAAAAGTAGAAGAAATAGAAATAGCAATTAAATCAATTAAAAAGAACAAGGCTTCAGTAATTGACAACATTTCTAGTAATGTTGTACTTTACGTTTTTTCTGTTATAAAAAAGTTACGTTTTTCCTGTTATTTTAAACATCTTTAACTCGTCAATTATAAAAGGTATTGTTTCTGACAAACTGAAAATAGCAAAAATTTTACCTTTATATAAAGCTGGAGATCAATTTCAATTCTTCCTGCATTTTCGAAATTCCTTGAAAGAATAATTTACAACAGAGTCTATAAATATCTAACAGAATACAAAATTTTAAGTTTCAATCAATACAGCTTTCAAACACGACATTCAACCGATCATGCCATCTTAGACCTTGTTAACACCATTAGCACATCTTTTGAAAGTCAGAAATTTGTATTAGGAGTTTATTGATCTGAAAAAGGCATTCGACACAGTAGACCATACAATACTATTGAAAAAAATGAAAAAGTATGGCATTAAAAATCAAACCATAAAATGGTTCTAAAACTATCTACATAATAGTCAACAACGTGTTATTATGGATCACATTAACAATTCAAAGCAGTTACAAATAAAATGTGGTGTCCTACAAATAAAATGTGGTGTCCTACAAATAAAATGTGGTGTCCCTCAGGGATCTATTTTAGCTCCTCTTCTATTCCCAATTTACATTAACGACCTTCTAAAGTCTCATCCAAAATAGATTGCATAATTTTTGCAGATAATACCAATATGTTTTATTCTTCAAATTTTATCAACGATCTCTTTTTAAGCGTAAATTTAGAACTACAAAAACTTAACTGATGGTTCAGAGCAAATAAATTTTCATTAAATTCAAACAAAACCAAGTACATCTTATTTCACCCCACCAATAAAAAAAAATCATTACCGTCAACTTTACCTGTTTTCAGCATAGACAACTCAATTATTGAAGATGCTCATTTATCTAAATTTTTTGGTGAACTTATCAACGAGAACTTATCTTGGAATTCTCATATAAACGCTATTAATACAAAAATATCTAAAAACATTGGTCTACTTTTTAAAGCAAGACCTTTTATGTCTTACGATAATTTAAACTTACTTTATTTTTCATTTATACACTGCTATCTTTCATACGCCAATATTGCATGGGCTAGTACCCATAAAAGTAAGCTAATTTCACTATATAGACGACATAAACATGCTTCTAGAATGATATTTTATAAAGATAAGCTTACTCATGCAAGTCCATTACTTAAACAGATGAATGCTTTAAACATTTACCAAATCAACATATATCAAAATATATTGTTTACGTTCAAACATAGAATGGGAATTGTCCTAAGTCGATTCAAAAACAACTTTTTTAATACTAATATAAATAAATTTCACCAGCATTTCTTTTAGAAAATATTAATTTTTTAAAAACCAAATTAAAAAAACTCATTCTAGAAATAAATAATTACATGGAAATATTCTAATTTATTATGAATAATTAGAAAAATAATAATGTAAAAAAAACAAACAAAAAAAACAATATGAAAAATTTAAAAAAAGTAAACTTAACTTGTTAATAGTATTTATAACAATAATATAGTATTTCATGAAATCAATAATAAGGGTTCTCAATGACAAGGCTTACACAGTTTTTTGCGAGTTTCCCCCTGACTACAAAATTTAAGCTAACTTATTTATATCCCGTTTCTTTTTCACAATACAGTTAGTAATATTACTTTAATTTCCTTACCTCAAATATATCTCAAGTATTTTGATGTCTCTAGTTATAAAAGAAGTATTTTTTTGAATGTATTTGTTGTAATATATTATGTATTGTAAAAACTTGTAAATACTTTGTAGTCTTAAAAATATATAAATAAAAAAAAATAAAAATAAAAATGTCGAAGCTCTCATAGAAGCTAATTCCATTAAAAGCTGTAGAATATCAGAGTAACAACTGTGCCTTGTTGCACGTGGCTGTGCCACTGTTGCACGTGGATAGTTTCTCTGTGCTTTTAGTGTGCAATATCGAGGCCGCATAAGAAGTCCTTTGTCACAAATTTTGATTAATTAGCGGGACTAACGGGAATAAAAACCTTTTTGCTAAAGGTGCCATTCACTGTTTTGAGTAAAGTTGAAACAAATAAACTCTAAAAATTTGTTAAACTGAATTTAACAAGTTCATTACAGGTAAATGTTAGAAAAAAAATTTTCATTTTCAAAGTTAATGGAATTTACTCAAGACAATCAACAACCTACCACTGCCGCTCCAAAACGTGGCCACAGCAAAAATGTCTTTGCTAAACCTCAACACATTTGCGATGCAGCTAATGTTGGGGGCAACTAGAAAACAATTGTTGCAGTTAACGTTGTCAGCAATTGTACAATACGTCGATAAATTGACGAAGATAATATGGATCGAGAGAAACTCGGAGATTACAAGAAGAAGAAGCTTACTGAAGATCAACTTGATGTCATTTAAGATTGAATCAAAAACAATCACGTTGATGTTGCAATATCTAAGATACACCAAGCACTTAATGGTCGTGCTTTCACCTATAAACCCATTCATTGCGATCTTTTGCAAATAAACATAGAGGCTGCAAAAGACGCTCGAAAGCAATACGTTTAAAACATGCGTGAAATGCTTGGTGATAGGAAAATTTTAATTTGAATAGATGAAACAAATATACTATTTTCACTGCACTTACCAAAAGTTGATCGAAGCGCAATACCCGCGCAGTGAAACCTTGCAATGCACCCCAAAAAAAGTAAAAGCATTCATGTCATTGGTGGAATGAGTGCGGCTGGCTTTTCTTACAACGAACATCTACGTGATGCATAAATTACAATCGATTAGCACAAGAATTAAACAGCAATCGATTATTTTAAAAGATTAGAACTTTTGTGACAATGCACCATGTCACTTTTAGATTGAAGAAGTATTTTTGGAACTTGATTTTGAAAATGCAAATGTGTTAAGGCTTGCACCATATTAGAATGTAAAAAAATCATTGCGCCAAAGTTTAGCTGCATTTCTGGTGCGTTTACCTAAAAATGTAACTCGTGAAGAGTTCAGAATGCAATACTTGGAGAATGTGAAATGTATTGCTTTTTGTTATGTTGTTGTTGTGATTAAGCGAACTCTCCAGCTTGTCGACCGAGGCGCTAGGATGTCTTTATCCAGCATCTTTAAGGACGTTATCAATATTATGCTCTCAATCTTTTTGATGTCGCGGTTGAGGTTTAAATTCAAGGGAAAAAAATTTTAAAATGGTGCATTTAACATGTACTTTTTTATAATCTAAATGAAATTTGTTTTTCATAAGTTTTGCGTTTCAAATAAAAATTGGCCAAATTAAAATAAAAAATCGACAAATCGAAATGAAAAAATGCCAAATTAAGGCCAACTTAAACACAAAAAGATGTACTTTGTTTTTGCGTTTAAGTTTTTGTTTTAAAAATTAAAAAAAATATTAGTTTGTTATTTTTTAAATGTTATTAACTTCAACTTTTAAAAAATAAAAATTTTTTGAAATTAAATCGTAAAAAGATTTTTTTTTATTAGAATTTTTTAGAAATGTTATAACATTAAAAATTTTTCTAAGTTTTGCTTTTATTCAAAAAGCAATTAAAACCATTGCAATTTTAGGACTTAAAAATCACTAAGTAGTTTGAGCATATTACACAAAAATGGTATCTTTGAATAAAGTCAAAAATAAATGTTGCTAAGTATTGTTTAGCGCCACAGATTCTTTCACGTGTAATAATATTTTAACAAAATAAAAAATTTAAAAGCGTTTTCATTAGATGAGAGCCGCTAATTACTGCTTTCTGTTACGCCAACTATACTGCTTTCTGTTTTACCATAAGAAGTTAATTCAAAAAATATATAGTAGTATTATTAAATATATGTAGAAGGAACAAAAGTTATTTTGGGGGTAGTGCTGGATTAGGGGGCCCCGAATTAGTTTAAAGAATCTTTTTTTTTTAGTCTTCTTTTCAGTCAATTTTCTCAAAATTATTTATTTGAAAAATTATTAAGGGTGGGGGAGGGTGACTAGCCGCTGTTGCTCCTTCCCCTTTCCCCCTCCCGTTTCTACGGGCTTGCAAAGCAACTTGAACTTCACTAATCACATCTTAGAAGTTTTTTGGTACGCTCATATTACCTAGGTGCTCTTGTTACACGAAACTACCCTTAAATCAAAACCAAAACTAATCGGAACATCCAATAGCCTAATAATGTTTTAAACAACAAAGCAATTTAATAGGACTTTAATCGTCTACTTTTTATTGGGTATTAAAATTTTTTAATCTTTTCGACTATAAAAACATTTTTTTACTTTGCAAAGGAATGTGTTTAAAATGGAATGTGCTTTAAAAGATCCTCGACAGTATAATTAATAAAATTGTAGATTTGTTTTTGATTTGTTTTATTTTAAAGCGTAGAATCAAAAAAAACTTGAATTAAGGCTTAAATATTTTTAATAGAAATGGCTGAAAAGGACCTTGCAGTAAAGTCTCTGTCACATGTACTCGAATTTTTGAAGCTTCCTGTGTTAGTAGAAATAGTAGGAGATGTTAGGTTATGCGACGAACTTGTTTTAGAAGATAAAAAAAAAATGTTTATACTTCAGCGCAACGTCACTCAATTTTTGTTCGGGACAGAGTTAAACGGTAAAAAATTTCGTTTAAACACTTGCGATCAAGGTAATCTTTTTGTTGATGTTTTCGATGAGTTTTATCCAAAAAGTTTGAGCGAAATAAAAAACTTAACACCTGCTTATGTTTTATCTAAGTTACCATTTAACTTCGAATCGCATGTGTTTGAGAGACATTCAATTTTTAATTTTAAACACTCCGAACAGTTCGGAGATGAAAATTTTGTTTTTTTAACAACGCAACAAGGTCAAACATTACCTCTTACTTTAAAAATTTTGCTAAGCAAATCGTTTTCATTTGTCTGCTACGTAAAAACATCAACTTTAGAGGTACTTTTAAAGGAAGGTGTTGAGTCAAAAATTGTGAGATTTAGAAAAGAGTGTCGTAATCAAGTTCCATCTGGTATAGCTACCTTAAATGAACTGCGTGTATATCACACTTTATTAACAGTGAGCGAAAATAAAAACTGTTCCGAATTAACTTATGAAGAGTTCCAACTAGATTCAAGAATAAATGTCTTTGTTCCAAAAAAGGCTTTTTTTCCAAAGTATATTGAGGCGTTAGGAGATTACAGCACAGTATTTTATTCTGAAAACATCAAAAATATTAAACTTTTAATTCACCATGAAATTTATTATGGACAGTATTACGGTTATTATCATGCTAAATTATATAGCGATAATACTGAAAATATTAAACTTAAGAGATCTAAATCTTTGCCTAGCTTCGAAAAACCTAATAAAGTTTATTTAAAGAAAAGATTTGCAGCGATAAAAAAACAGTTCTTTATTAAGAAAAACCGTTCAGTATCTTCTTGATTAAAACATTTTTTTTGTTTTATTTAATTATATAAATTACATTGAAATTATTATTTTTACTTCAATTTAATTTTTTCATAACTTTTAATAAACTCATATTTGGTCAAAACTATATAAAAATAAATCTATTTCATAAAACCAAAGTTGAATACTATCTATTATTTATGAAAAAAAAACTACCGGTAAATAAATTGACTTAATTCAACATATCTTAGTTTTTATTCTAGTTTATAGCACACGATAAAATTTATTAATCAAATTTTAAATTTTTTTATGAATAATTTTTATTGTTAAACTTTTATTTAATATTGCTTTGTATGTATATATGTAGATGTTTAATAAATATATGCTAAATATGTTTTCTTTTTCTTGAGAATGATATTCAATCCAGACACTGCCCAGTATCAAAACAGCTTTTAAACTGTAATTTAAATATCTCGGGACTCAATTAAATAAATAGAAAAAAAAAAATTAATTAGTTAATACTGATTTCCTGTTGATGTTGTTATAAAAAATATTTAAATTTGTGTTCTCATTGTATTCAGTTTTACTATTAAGTAAAACTGTTTTACTATTAAGTAAAAAATTACAATGTTTATTTTAAATACAGCAGCATTAGTAAATAAAAAACATCAAAAAGCCTTGATCTAGGTCTTGGTCTTAATACCGAAATTCTTTGTTCTTGGTCTTGGACCCTCTCATTTATGCGCATCCCTTATTATATTTCATATTAATTATTTTTGTCACTACCCAGCAAACTTTCTATAGCAAAATTTCAAAGGATTTGTATACGTATTTTGATTAGTCCCACCAAACATTTTTGTAGTGGATTTGCAGTGGTCCAATATTGGCATTTTGAGCCCAATAAACCGCTCAAAATGACTAGTTAGGTCCACTGCAAACCCACTGCAAAATTTTCGTTTTGTAATTCATCAATATACCAATTAAAAAAATACTCTCTTAAACGCGATATTGATTATATTTGAAACTATTCCTCTTTACATTGTAAAAAATACGTAAATATAAGTTAACATAATAAAAATAGATTGGTATGTTTAAATATATGAATCCTAAAAATTTGAATTTAAGTATATGAATCATAAAAATGTATGAACCATAAAAATTTATTTTTTATTATTATTTTTTACTTTTATTTATTTCGTCTTTAAAAAAAAAAATACAATGCCGTGTTATATAAGTAAAACGTACATAATCGGTGCTAAAAGAAGACAATATTTGTTTTAACACTTTGCTCCGACGTTCTTTGATCAGCAAGCGTGTACAACCATTAAAGGGCAAACATAAAACTACTTTGTACTATTTAAAAATCATATACATAAGATCAGTTACTAAACTATAATCAAAGAAAAGTCGTAAAAGAAAACAAAAAATAATAAACACCTAAAAACAAAAGATAAGTTAATAGGATAATTTAAAGAAAATTTAAATTAGAGACAAGTTAAAATTTTAGAAAGAATTTAATTCATTAATACCGCTAATAAGTTTTTGCTTGAGTTTTTGTTTGAAAAGAGAAAAAAAAGAACAAATTTTCTGCTCTTTATTTAATAAATTATATATATTATAGATTTATATTAAGTTTCCGAAATTTCAAAAGTTATAGAGTAAAACCGGGTCTAACCGCACACTATATCATTCCGCCCATTGATCGTAATTATCAAAGAAAAACAAAACGGATAAAAAAAAAAAGAGAAAGATTCAAATACAGAATCTCCTCACTTCGAATTGAAAAAATTATGCTGATTCAACTCCATTTTTTCCTTTTTTAATACAACTTTAACGGGGAGTCAAAATTTATATACATATATTTTTTATCGTTGTCAACATAATAGCGCTTGAAGCAAAACTGATATTTTTTTTTATTTTTGTTTTGCCATGTAAGTATATATACATAGAATCAATATTTCAGTATAAATACAGATGGCCCGGGCAAGAAGAAGACACAATTTGTCTTTTCACCAAGCTCCAAGAATTAACTCCATAAAATAAAAGTTGTTACTTACAGCATATATAATTGTAACCAGTATATAAGAAATAAGATTTTCTGGTAATAAACATATAAAAATAATAAAAAGAGTAATAAATACATAAAAAAATAAAATTTTGCAACATATAACTTGTGAAAAATGTATACTATTCTTTTGAAAAAATCAAATAAAAAGTTACAAATTAGAAAAAATAAAATGTTTTAAGATAGATAAGAATAAATAAAAAGATGTCCAAAATGACACGATGTTAGAAAGATAAACTTTAAGATAAATTGAAAAAGCTTATCTGTACTACCAGATAACTTTAGAAGAAGTCATGCACTCTGTCACTAACCGGAAGCATTTGTTTCAATTTTGCTTTAAATTCGTTAAGATTTTCATGAGTTTTAAGTTTATTATATATAAATTTATTCCTTAAATTTGGCCCTCTAATAGATATTGAAAACGTTGCTACAAGTGTTGTTTGAGTATCTGGTTAAGTATCTATTTTTATTTATTTAGAATAACGAATCAATAATGTTAAGTGTTATTTTTGAATTAACTTTGAACATAAAAATTAAAAGATGATAAATGTTTATTTGGTAGACGGTGACAAAATAGCTTTATAAATAGTTCTTTTAAGTGTGTAAAACGGTCTACATTAGACAATAATCTGATACCATGCTTTAGCTTATTAAAGAGTTTTTCAACTTTGTTTTGATTTGTGCTTCACCAAGCTATGTTTGCGTAATTCAGATATAAATGAATAAAGGAGAAATATAACAGTTTTAAACAAGTTTGATTTAATAAAGGCCTCGCCTTATAAAGTAATCCTATATTTCTTGAGATTTTACCTTCAAGGTAATGTATATGATCTTTCCAAGTTACGTTTTCGTCAAGGAGTACGCTTAGAAATTTTAACGAGTGTTCTTTTATTATAGCCTGACTACCTAAACAAAGTATTGGAATTTTAAGATATAAAAGTAATTTTAGCACTATCTTGTTGGAAATTTAATTTTAATTCTGATTGTATAATTATTATTCAGGTAGAATGAAAAATCAAATAAAAAATCAAATAAGTAAAAAAAAAAAAGTACTCTCGATTAATTAATTTTTGCAAGTGACAAAGAGCCTATCTTTATCTAATTAACTTTGTGTTAATTCTGGTTTAATTATAAATGAATTATAATGTTATTTGTTAACTTACTCATATCAGCTTTAATCCGAAGCTAATGGGTTTAAAGCTGAAGCTGAAATATCAGCTGCAACCCTTACTTTATAGACAACATAGTTAATGTGATGTATATAGATTATAATAATACATGTGTTTTTTTATACTTAAATACTTATTTTTTTATTTTATATTACATTTCTTTTTTAAACACATGTTTTTTTATAAAGTTTAATATTTAGAAAAAAATGACTTTTGCCAAATATTCTTTAGATAAAAATAACATTTTCTTACATTACTCTAATCGAGGTAATAAACAAGAGTAATATTTACTCCAATCATTATATTTGTCCCCCAAAGTTCATGCAATTTTTTTCTACATAAGTCTCTCACTAATTCTAATAATCAAAAATTATTACCACTATTATTACAATTATATTTACTAACCTGTTATTACTAATATTTATCAAAAATACATTTTGGTTATTGAAGTCACTTTTACTCATATCAGTATGCAATCATTGTCAACAGTCAGAGTGCACCATGCAGAAATATTCTTGAACATGCTGCAAAATACAAGATATACATATGAATAAAAGCTTTTAAATCATTTTTACAAATCCACTCTTTTCCATTGATTTTTCTTTTTTTTTTTTTGCAAGCAAAATGACTGATGTTAACGAAGATTACCCACAGTCAGATGTAAATAAAGATATAATTAGGTGTTTAAATGCAAAAAAATGTTTTTTGACTTTGATATAAAATTGTACACTTGTAATATTAACAGTAATTTCTTAATATACATAACAATAACTTATACTTACAATACCTATACTTGTAAATACTTGTAATATAATACTTACGTTTATAATATAAAAAATTTTTATTGATATGAACTTTAGCATTCAAACTTTTGTTATAAAACTTTAGTTTAATTTAATAACTTTAACAATAACTAAAAAAAGATAATAGTTATTATATAGATTATAATCATATGCTTATTTATTATAATTGAGATATAGTAAGTTAAACACGATAAAATGTTAAGTTCCAGGCAACAGGTCTTGTACGACATGTATCTTATGTACATAAATATCAATAAAAAGTTTTATATTATAAACATAAGTATTATATTACAAGTATTTACAAGTATAGGTATTGTAAGTATAAGTTATTATTATGTATATTATGAAATTATTGTTAATATTACAAGTGTACAATTTTATATCAAACTCAAAAAATATCAATGATTAAAAAATGAGGTTGATGCATAACAATAAAACCATTTTTTTGCATTTTAACACCTAATTATATCTTTATTTATATCTGACGGTGGGTAAACTTTGTTAACATCATCAATCATTCACCTTGTTCAGGACATTTTTAAATCGTTTGATGAAGGCAAGTATATCCAAGGCTTTTTTATTGATTTAAGTAAATATGAGGTTTCTTTCCATTGATTTTCAATATCATTTTTTATTTTATTTGCATCACATCTGTGTTTCATTTTTTCATTGTGTGGATTAGGTGAATTGATCTTCATAGCCTTTGTAAATGTGGTAGAATAACTTTTATTAAAGTCCTGATCTAGTTTGCTCAGTGCTTTATGAGTTGCGATTGAAAGTTTTTTTGCCTATACATTCCTCTTTTTTCTGCTTTATATTTGAATCTTTTACATTTGACAGGAAATTTTTCTAACACTTTTTTAAATCTTTAGTTAGTTATGCATCCTTGAAAGTTAAAAAGGTTATGAAGCATTTTTGAGCTTCCTAAGTTATTAAATCTTGCTTTGGAAAAGGTAAGCAAAATATCTTTTAAATACAATTTTGACCTGGACATCCTTAAGTTTTTTATATGGTTAACAATAACCGGGCCTTTTTTTTTATTTGTCAAAGTGAAATATATTTTTTTTAATATAAATTTTGTATTGATGATTGAGCACTCTTGATCTAAAAACTTAATAATTTTCATTTACTAAATGTTTGATTTTATGTTTTTCAGTTAAAGCTATATATACTGCAACTTTAGTGAAACCGCAAGTTAAAGGATCAGCAATAGACAGCTCTGACATAACAAAAGATTGAGTTGATTTGATTATAAATCTGTCGTTTACTTGTATTCTAGTAAATTTATATTCTTCCCGGAAATTTACATGTCAACAATAATCTATGGTAATTTAAAGACCGGAATTTTAATTTTTTATTAATTTAAGGCATTATAAAATAGGGGTGGATTATATCACAGTAATATTCAAATTTTGAACTTACACTTTTAAAGCACAATCAACGTTGAAACAACATTGAAAAACCGTTGATATTTATGGTTGAAAAATGGTTGATTTTCGGTTGAAATGGAAACGCAAATCAACGTTGAAAAAAAAACGTTAGATCAACGTTGAAAATAAACCAAAACTAAACTCATCAAAAATCAATTTATAAACGAGTTTAAAAACTCAAAAATACAGCTTTTTGCGCCGTGACTCTTTTAATTTGAAAATACATATTTTTTGTACAATATTGTGTTGTTATGAGTAAGAAAATAAACAGTATTCTTCATAAACTTATAATAGTTGTCATAGTACAATATCTTATGCTATTGAACTGCACATCTTGTTCTCAATTTTTACAGCTTTCACTTATTATTATAAGTAGTATTATTAGTTTATTTTATATTATTATACTAACTGTTGTTATAGTATTACAAATAATCTGCCCTGTACCATTTTTTTAACACAAGTAACTAATTTATAGAAATTGAAAAGCAATTATTGAAAGCAAATAAAACCAAAAAAATAATTTATACATTTTTAGAACAAAAACCTTTACAAAATTAAAGTTATTTTCAAAACGGTCTTAATAAAATCATAATATCGTTATCTTCACCACCAATATTAAGTTCATATGTATTTTTATCGCCTTCTGTTATCAGACTCATTTTGATTTAATGCACATTTTGCCATGATTTAATCAATATGGTGCAACCGTCAAACAGTCTAAATTCTATCTTTGTGCATTGTCTTTTTATTTAAGAACATCAGGTAGCTGCATCTAAATAAAAATATCTTTAAAGTAAAGAACATAAGTACATTTTACAAGTATTATTATGCTTCAAATTGCCACAAGTGAATGTAAACATTAAGTGATTAATAGTAGAAAAAAAAACAACCCATTACTGATCCGTGCCTAATTTACTTCATTACTGATCAAGATATCAAACTAATTGGATAAAGATACATTATACATCAACATCAACGCATATACACACATAACACAAACCTTTTAGGCAGTTATACATTGCTCAAGTCAACCATTCGTTTAGTAGAACCTTTTTTTTTGGTCCCCTAGAGGATCAAGATATCTGTAACTTACTGTATTTAAATATATATATGTATATAATTATACACATATACGTATATATACATAAATACAGTGCTCGAAGTGGAGAAAAAATAGTAACGATTTTAATTTACCGAATGGTATTTTAAAAATACCATTAGGTAAATTAAAATCGAAATGGTATTTTTAAAATACCATTCGGTAAATTAAAAATACCATCCGATCTAATCATTGTTATATATAGAGATTTACAAAAAAGTCGCAGGATGGTTTATACTTTATAAAAAGGTGACGAGATGGCATCCTGCTTCATCCTGCCTCACTTCGAGCACTGCTTGCATAACATAATCTATATTTTATTTATGCTGTGCTTATAATATATATATATATATATATATATATATATATATATATATATATATATATATATATATATATATATATATATATATATATATATATATATATATATATATATATATAAATCAATGGGAGCAGCGCAAAGAAATATAATATACATATATACATACCAATGACACCTTGTAAATATTTAAAATCCATTCTTTATTGTTTGTTTTAGATCAGGTCAAGTTAAACTTTGTTTTTAATTTATTTCCCATCTACCTGCAAAATCAAAATAAATTTAACAAAAAAAAAACACAGTAAAAATACAATCAAATTACAAATCAATTAAATAAATGGAATACTAAAATCTTAAATTAACAAAAAATAATGAAATCATGGCAAAAAAATGGTTATGGTTAAATGAAGGTTAGAGTTAGTAGACAAACCAATCTAGACTAGTCTATAAAAATGCGATTTGATGCTCAACGGATATATTGAAATATTTAAAAAAAAAGAAAAAAAGTTATAGAAAAAGCTGTTTATAAACAGCTTTTTCTATAACTTTATTTCTTCTTTTTTATAAATTTTTTGCTGTTTTGAAGTCTGTTTATAAGAAATCTTAGCTCTAATTTGAGCACGCTGTTAGCAACTTTTAATAACTTTTTCTTTTTTTATACCTGCTAAATTTTTTATTAATACTATAAATAAAAAAATAATAAATAACTAATAGAAATAATTAATCTATAAGAAATAATTAATCTATAATTTATAAGAAACCTTAGCTCTAATTTGAGCATGCTGTTAGCAACTTTTAATAACTTTTTCTTTTTTTATAAGTGCTAACTTTTTTATAAATATTATAAATAAGAAAATAATAAATAACTTATAGAAATAAGTAAATAAATAATTATAATATTAATGATAATTATAAATAAAATAATAATAAGAAGAAATAAGAAATTATTTAACAATTTATCATCTATGCAACTTAATGATTTAGATAATTATATTTTTTTTTCACATAATAGATAATATGTGTAAAAAAAAACTATTAGCAGAAAGTTGTTATGAAAGGTCAGGGCCTATTCTAGGAAAAAAATTTGGACGGTGATTCTTCTCCGTCATAGAGAAAGTAAGCGGAATATTGGAGTTTTTTCACAAAAAAAACAACATGTGCTGTTAAAAACGCATATAAAAAAAAAAGGTCCTCAAATTTTTATTTGGGCAGCGCCCAAATACGGTCGATACTGTCGAAAATGGTCTAGAATAGCCCCTGATGGTACACTATTGACATATCCAAGACAATTATCTAAGATAGCAGAGTAATAAAAAGTTAATTAAAAAAGTCATCATTTACATTCTTTGTTACTTTCATAATGTTTATAAAATGACATATGCATTATATAACCAGAATGTTTTATTTATTTTAATTTAAACTCCATTACAGTTAAACAGCGCGACATTAAATATACATTAAAAAAAAATCTTTTTGTTCTTTAGATCTTTATTGACTCCTCTCTCCATGCTCCTCTCTCTGGATGAGCATTATGACAAAACAAAATAGATATTTTAAAAATGACTTTATTATATACTTTAGCTTCTATATTATCAAAGTCTACGTTAACTAGTTTATTTTTTGCTTTTTTTAACTAAAAATTTAAATTTAAGTTCTGTTCAACTGTGCAAGCCATCTTTATTTTATTTTAATAATGCAGCAAACTATTGATAAAAAATAATGGTAAAACAAAAATATCAACCTACTTCAGATTTATGTTAACGTCTGCAATTCAGTTTATATATGTTTTTACTTTACCTGATGTTATTATATCAATCCCTAACAAAAAGAATACAATAAATACTTTACATAAGATTTGATAAAAATTAAATGGTTTTTAATACTGCTCTTACAAATATATGCAATAAACATTTATTTATCATAGGTTATAATACCTGCAGTTTCATCACATTTTAGTTTAAACTTATACCAACCAATTGTTGTGTTATATTTTAATTTTTTACTGCAAATTTCACGTTTCGATTCAGACAATGGACAAAACCATACTTTTTTCAACTTGATGGAATTTCATTCATACAAACAACATTGTCTTTTAACTAAACAAACCAAAACATTCTGGTTCACACTATAGTTTCATAATTATAAAAAGACTTTGATTGTATATTTGACAAATATATAAAAACATCTTTAAATGATTTAACCAGACACCGCATACATTTTTTCCAGATTTTTTAGATTTTCCACAAATTTATCAGATAGCAGATCTCATGAACAAAAAACCATTTATGTGCTTTAAATTCCCCAATTTCTTAGTACATTTTATCAGAAAAACTGAACATACGCGCACTTATTTAAATTTACACTATAAAATTAAGACAAAATCTGTTTGTTTCTTTAAATATACTATATGCGGTGTCGGGTTAAATATTCATCTTTAATCCACCATTTTTATATAAAATATGCAATATTAAATTATATTTAATATTGCATATTTTATATAAAAATGCACAGATCTAAGTGGAATATTAAATTATATTTAATTCCGAATTCGTACATTTGTGTCGGCGAACTCTCATATCTAAATTTCAACGTCATTTCAACGTTTATTTTTCAACGTTAATTTAACGTTTGTTTTTAGTTGAAAATAAACGTTTATCAACGTTGAAATTTCAACGTTTTTTTTTTTAAACGTTGAACTAACGTTAAAATAATGTTGAAATAACGTTAGTTGCTTGTTGGGTATATATATTATTAGCTAACACACATACGTTTTAACAACGTATGTGTGCTAGCTGGGTGATGTTTCTGTCTTTAGTTTACTGAGTTGGTTAGGAATGTTATTAATGATAAAAATGGGGGTATTAGGCAGGCTTGGTCGGGAAACGGGTGCGATCGCACTCGATAATTGACCACGGAAATTATATTTACTTGCGAAAAGCCGGCCAGATTTTTCAGGCGTTTTGAGAACATTTCAGTTTATGTATGTTTCCTTGTTTGTCCGCAAAATAATAAGTTCATTTTATCGTAAATTTTAAAAGATTTTGTTTTACGGACGTACATGGAAACTTATATAAACTTAAATGTTGTCAAACATCTTAGTGCGGAAAAATAAATAAAGAGTATTCGCGAACACAAAAAACCCGCCAAATTTACGAACAACTAATTCTATTGGTTCAATTAATAAATAACTGAAATTACTAAAGAATTCAAGCGACTGTTCTAGAGTATTCTGTTGAATTATTTTTCAAAATCTTTTTTTTTTGTTTTTGTTTTTGTTTTTGTTTTTGTTATGTTTTCGTTGAGAATTCTAGCATCAATTGTTTTAAGAATATACTATCAAACGAACAATTATTTTAATACAATGGCTCATTCTCGGAGTCACATCCATAAAGCTATAAATGTTTTAAACTAACATTTGTTTACAAAAATAAATGTTTTAAATTTATATTTTTTAACTTGTCAACGTTTTGTAAATATATTATGGATTTAATTAGTATAATCTTATTTTTTATATATAAGGGATGTATTTATATGTATGTAATGTATTAGAAATTGATTTATTAACTTCAATTATTTTTGCTTCAGCCATTCTTACAAACTCGTTATACTTACACTTAAAGTTTTTTTCTTCTGTAAAGTACTAATTAAAGATATAAAGCCCACTCACTGAACATCATCAGCGATATTGTTAAGCAGTTCCGCTTCCTCCTTACAAAGTAATTTAACGTTTTTAGTTAATTTCTATCTAGCTAATTAAATTTCCACAGTAACTCAATGATTTAGCTATTTCATTTGTTCATCTTACTAAGAAGAATTGACTTTTTCTCGGCCCATAACATTGTGTGTCCCGGGACTATAGCTCTTCTACTTCCCTCCCCCCCCCCCCCACCTCTTATTTCCAGCACTGGAAATAAGACATAAGTATATAAATAAAAATTATATATAATCTTTGATAAATTGAAGAACATTTGTTTCTTTATTAAACAATCATTATTAGTACGTTGTTACTATATACAAAAAATGCGGCTTTTTTTTTAAAAAAAAAAATTGCAAATGAGCGACGTTTCAAAAATATTTGCTCTAATCGTATTTATTTTGCTTAAAGTTTTGCATTATAGCTATTTTTCTTTATTTTAACTGTCTCTCATCGGTCCAGTTTATCTTATTGCGCTTTTTTTGCTTGTTTTTGAAATGTTCTCAAAACGCCTAAAAAATCTGGCCGGTGACGCGAAATAAAATAACTCCCCGAAAAGTTAACTCCCGGTTAAAACATTTTAACTCCCCGGTTAATCTATTTCGAAATAAATTAACCCCGGGAGTTAAGTTATTTTAAAACATGGCGAAATAAATTAACCGGGGGCTTAAATATTTCTAATCCCCATCGTAATAAATTAACCCCTATTAATTCGCATTTTAAATTATTTAGCTTATAATAAGTTCTACAAAATTGCGTAGGTAGTTTTTTCTAATATATATTTTTAATATATATCTTCAGTTAGCGTTGAATAAAATTATTTTGTAACTGTTTTCGTTTTGCTTAGTTTGTATATTGTTGTGAAAATAAAAAGGAGATCAAAATAATAATAATAATATTGCAGCAACTTCAGCGAACCTTTCTCTTGCAATAATGTTTGAGATTATAGTCTATAATCTCAAACATTATTGCAAACATTATATATATATATATATATTTATATATATATATATAAATCAGTAGAAAATCAATTGACAAAAAATTTAATTTTACAATGTGTTTTATCAATAAAGACTCATCAGAAATTTCTGATGAGTCTTTATTGATGAAACACAGTGTAAAATGAAAAAAAAATTTTTGTCAAGTGATTTTCTACTAGTTTATAATTGCTCTGTTCTTTTAATAACATTGAGCACTCTATTTTGTAGAATACATTTTTAAAATAGTTTAAACACACACACACACACACACACACACACACACACACACACACACACACACACACACACACACACACACACACACACACACATATATATATGTATATATATATATATATATATATATATATATATATATATATATATATATATATATATATATATATTTATATATATGTATATATATATATATATTTATATATATGTATATATATAAATTAGTAAAAACACTTATCTAATTTTCCTCGACTGTCATAATTAGACAAGTGTTTATACTAATTTACTACTGCTCTGTT